CGACGTGTGGTCGCGCCTTATTGTGGAGAAGAATCATTCCATTTGTGCAGCATGAACTACATTTGTGTTGGTGTATTTGCTTCCACCAAAATCTTCAATTCATCGTCTTCAATGGCAGCAGGACATCTTCCGGAATAACTCGTCACGATAAAGCTTCTGAAGCCGACATTCCATTGTGCGTTCCTTAACACTTCTTCGGCCCTATACGATTTGAATTGATGTCTAATTATACGGAGCGAAAGTGATAAAATGAACTTTGTAGTGATATATAAAATAGTGTAACATTCGAAAAAAAAAACTGTTGCTAAAATATTTGCAAGAGAAATGAAATTACAAATCGGTCTTAAATTCTTGAGCAACCTATAATGCAGCACTCAAAAAAACTTCTTGCGAGAACATCTACGAGAAGAAGTTAGAAATCGCAACTTTCAAACAGTTCACCCAACAAATTTTTATGAAATGTTAATGAGTGTATTCTCCACAAGGAAGCTTCGATTAAAACAGATCTCATATAGCTTCTTACCCAAATGGATGCTTACACGATCCGTTCTCACGAGTAGTATGGGCCTACGGCATTTTACATTCGATTCCTCACGCAGTCGTCATTGGTTAAGGTGATTCCAGAGTGATACTGGATACGATTCTTATACCGTTCTCTATTGCAACGAGGCCGTTGGCAGGTTTGGCTTGATGGTGTCCCCTTGTTGAACTCATTTACTTATGGGAATGGTAAGGGATTGTTGGCGAAGCTGTATTTTCGCAGTGCAGCTCAGATAACATTCAAATAGAGTTCTTATGTACGACGAATCGACTCCTTGGTCGACGAGTGCTGATAGGATTGCATTCGTTTCGACAGTGTCAAGCGCTTTCTCACAGTCGACGAAGGTAAGGACTACGGGCTGGTGGTATTCGCGTCAGACTTCAGACCCTGGACACAGTTTGGATATGGTCCATGCAGCAAAATCCTTATCGAAATCATGGTTGCTCCACTGGTTGTGCATCATCCCATGTCTTTGATATGCGCGAGGATAATCTTCGTGAAGAGCTTGTAGAGCATACTCAACGAGAAAATCGGGCAATTGTTACGAAGACCCCTTCGGTCACCCTTCTTGGGCAAGATGACTGCACGACTTCCACTAATTTAGAATTTCTTTGTTTTGTTTTGTTTGTTTTCCCAATTTTTTTTACTACTAGAAAGTTGGCAGCCGACGAAAAGTGGCTCGTGCTACATTGAGGCGGCCGCAGAAATGAGGAGACGTCGCGATGAGGTGAAGGAGTGAAAAATATCCAGTTGCTGAACGCAGCCTCATCAGTTGTCTGCTGAAATGTAGAAGCTTTCTTTTGTTGTTTGAACCATTTACCATGGAATTAGTCATCGAATAAGGGAACGACACTGGCAAAATGTTCATTCAGTTATTCCGCCCTTCAAAGTTTGGCGGTAGACTCCGCTCGCTCGAGCATTTGGAGAATGGCGTAAGTCCGCTCTTAGGTAATTTTTTAAGTGAAAATGTTAAATCTCTTACCTCGTTTACTCCGTTGGACTTCACAAAAAACACGGGGGTCCCGGCTACCTACTATAGGACGGTGGACTGTTGGTAGCGTTACACATTACAATTTGCAATGATCTTATGTCATCCGGAGCACTCACTCATGAAATTTTTACGGTTTTCTTTATCGCTGGTATATTCAGTCGAGAATTACTTTTGTTACAGATGAGCATCGTCGTGCGCGATTTCGTGAAGCATAGCGCTCTCAACTTATTGAGAAGGAAGAGCTGCATGGTAGTAAAGGAGGTACGTTACCGGCCAACCTTCTATAAAACCACTGAGTAAAAATTGTTCTGTTGGTGTGGCCCTCATAAATGTTTTATTTTGGAAATGTGTTCTTTTTTTATTCCTAGTGAAAATCCACTGTCTCCAAAAATTTTTCAGGACCACTCCAAGCAATTGTTAAGCTAAAGATGACTACAAAATAGCTGTAAGTAGGTTATATTCGTTTATATCTTCTTATTTTCACAGTGGATTAGTATCTGCTCTTAGTTGCTAATTGCTTTTTACAAATGTATTAAAAATGTTTTTCCAACAGTTTACCACCTCATCGTGGCTGGAAGGTGTTTCTGGGCGTTGGACTGCGATGTATAACAGGGGAAATCGTCCACATCAGGGCCTCCTACGCTGGGAAGGAATCCGGCGTTTCTATCAGAAAGCCTAGCTAAGAGTAAACCAATACCAGAACCCACTACCGTCCTGGTATCAAAGTCGCATGGTGGTAAATCTCCCTCTCATCCACAAGGGCTGCGACTGCCTGTGATGGTGAAGATCTGAGGCAGAATTTGACCAGGCTGACCTCGGGATTCCAGGGAACCACGAGGGCTTAACCAGTAAATCTCCGAAAAATAGCGACTATGCTGGGACCCGCTCAATTAGTGAGGACGAGTCATTCAAGTATCATGTATTAAAAAATGTACGACATTAATCACACTAGCTCCCACTGATAATGCCATCGTGTTAGGAAACAAAAACCTACACATGATTAACACCAAATTTTTTTCCATAGTGAACTTTTCACTATGGAGACTAGGGCTTCATTGCGATAATGTGTTAACATGGAGATCTGTTGTAGCAGGTAGGCCATTGCACAGTGTGTATAGGTGTGGGTGGCTCATTCGACAAACACTACTGTTTCTTCACAACAACGGTGACTCCTTGTACCATTTATATTCCATTCGCTTGTCCCGTTGACAGGGAACGACACTTGAGATAGTTATGCATCACCCTATAGCTAGTTTTTTTTTCCTCCTTTATGGTTCTTGTCGGTGTTATCATATAATATTTTGACTAATTCCTCCAATAAAGTGTGGAAAACTGCCGCAGTATGTCCAAATAGAGTTGGCTTCTTCATGGCTCTTTTGTATGCTTTTGTTCTGTATGCTCTATCTTCTATGAAACGTGCTTAGAGACGTGCTGTATACACAGATACATAGCCGGCTGTTCGATCCCGCACTCTAGGCTCGGCATGCTCACCCCCACACCATGCGGGTTCTTCGTTTCGCCTCTCTCAGCTAGTTTTCTATCGATCGGTGTCATCAGAAATAACCCGTTAACAGAAGAGACAGGTGAAACGAAGGACCTGCATGGTATGGTGGTGAACACGTTAGCCCCAGAAAAGTGTAGTTGCATGTTCGTTCCCCACCACAAACACCTGCCGTCCGGAGTTTTGCTAATATTATGCAGCATCATTACGGTTGTATTTCACATAGTACCCTACCGTGAAAAATTATGATAAGCAGCAAATTAAAAGTTAACATTACTGCACAATCCTTCTTCCCTTGTGAGGCACTGAATGAATCGGTGGAGTTCGATCAATAGTTCAGTAATTTTCCGCCATATGGCGATGTTCACTAAGGTATGCTTCTTTGTGCTAGAAATGAGCTAGAACATTTTCTCGTTGTCGTGATGTCTCGACGATAGCGATCACCCACCATATTAGTTTTTCTGTGTGACATTGTTATGCTTCTATTCGTCGGCACCTTCTTCTCTTCTTCATTTCTTTTTCGACGAGCTTCTAAGATGAAATCATTGTAAGTATTGTTATTAGGTGTATGTGTCAATGTTGGTTTGTATTATATTAATGTTTTAGCTGTATCAGTTGGATTAATAAAGTTGGCTGGGTAGATTGCAGTCCACTTGACATTTCCAGGCTCTGAGGATGCTGAAATCCGTCGAAACTTCGGCTTGTTTATAAATAAAAGATAAAGTTACAGTCTTGTGCTTGCTCATCAAGAAATTAATTTTAGTAAATTTAGAAAAAAATTTTAGTAAATTAATTTTACAATTTCACACCTTGTACCCTTCCTTCTTCGTTGTTCCGAAATTTGGCAAGCATCCAAAAGCATTTATGAATATCATTCTATTGGTAGCTGGAAAAGTGATTTCTAAACTTATTTCTCTTACTTGACCCGACATAATTTATATCATGCTATCTGGATGCCAGCACTTTTTGAATTCGATTCGTTTGCCCGCATATGCCATGCAGGAAGGTCTTCGAACATCTCGCGTCTTGGTTTGGCTGTTGCATGAGGGTTTGTTTCTTCGTCATTGTCGGAATATTGTTCAAATGCACAACTCTTATTCTGCCTGGACAAGGTCTTCTGCAGTTTTTTGTCTATAGAATGAACAGCATGTAAGATTTTGAAAACGAGAAATGCTGAACGACATATCTATTCTCGTTAAGATCACTAAGAGGCAGGTGGACGTGGCTATGAAAAAGGCTATATTACTAATTGTGGTTGAATTTTCCTATTGATTTTCTAGCAAACATAATTGTTGCGTTTGGTTGCGATAGTGCGATCATCCTAGTTTGATAATTGGCGAAGCTTCGGTAGGCGTTGCGAATGCTTTTCTCAACGTCTACGCCTTTACTATGACGTGATCTATTTCAATGTGGTTCTATCCATTGGTGAGCTCTTACATCCAGCTTTGAGAGTGTAGCTTCAGGAATTATGAGCTATTATGAGGACCTTGGGTCTTTGTGATAAAGCGGTCTCTGGAATAGCCGCTCATCCCATTCATTCCAAGCTCAATTACTGGGTCCCAATATAACGTTCGTCGGAGTTCTCCAAGGTAAAGTCGTCAGTGATCACCTAGATAATGTATAGCCATTTATGTGGGACTTTCCGAAGCCAACAAAGATTGCTTTTACTAGTTTATCGTCATAGCTTAATGTGTGTTTATAATCAGCAAAAATTCATAAAACTGGTTTCTAGCAACTATTACCTTCCAAATAAGCATCCACGTATCTGTGCATTCTTGTAAACTCTGTGTGAATGCGTCTGTGCAAGCATTAATTCGTCAATTAAGGTCTGTGTGAATATACGTCTATTTCTGAATATGTCTAAGTCTTTAAAATACATGCATGCTTAAAAAAAGGTATGCAAAAGCATTTATTGGATACAAGTTAATGCTTACAAGCAGAGGTTACACGATTGTGGGCAGACCAACTTTCTCAAGTCCTCATCATACTTGGAGGAACGGCAGAAGTTCCATGTCATTAGTGTATTGCATCTGAACAAGTGTAATATTTAGAATTTGTAAGAATATAAAACAGATATTATTAGCACGTACACAGATTTAGAAACGTCTTTGCAATCAGGTCTAGGGGTATACTTAGGCCGAGTAGTGGCGCCTGCAGTTGGCCTAGGTGTTGTTTGAGAAGTCACCGGGCCAGACGAAGCTGCATCAAATCATTATAGCAGTGAATGGCTAAGAAAGAAGTCTGTAAAGTACTGCTATAAACTGAAAAATTACCAATTCGATAACGTAGAACCACTTTGGTTTCGTAGAAATTGTTGAAAGTAATTACAGGGACTACGTTGTACGTAGAAATCAATGATATTCCAGCCTTTTTTGAATCACAGAATCTAAACACTTGAAGCAACTCAACTACAATGGTCAACTAGCTCACAATGTTAAACAGTTACCTGTAACCAGTATGACGTTTATCCTTTCCTGTTTTGATTTCAACTCCCGCCATTGAGCATCCGCCATAACCGAAGCCTTGTGTAAAGTTATCAAAAACCACCTCAATGGTTGAACCAATGGGTGCCTTAAAGAAAGTTTGTTTTGACTTTAATGCTATTAAATTTTAGCTAAGACTGAAATACTTCAATCCAGTAATGGCACATCGTGTAGTCAGGTTTCCTTTCTCTTGAATCTCTTTTACCCAAGGTGTCCTCAAGTGTTTGGAAGGTGGTGGTTGCCGTCAATATCTTGCCGCAACCACTTGGCTATAACGAATGATTCTTTGGTCCAGATGGTGTCTTAAAGAAAAGTGCTTTAAGTTTTAATTTTCCTACTCTTTCATTGCAAAGTCTTCCGCCATATCCGCTAGGACAAATGCATTTAGAGCAGTCTCTGGGATGCGGAAACCCACCGTTTTCACAAGCTGCAGAGGACTTTCCACTGCACTTTTCTGCAAAAATTTAGTGTTATGTGAAAGCAGCTAAATAGAAGACAAAAGGGTGAAGAAGTTTTCTCACCGAGGCATCCATAATGCATGTTTACCATGAGCTTATCGTAAAATGAAAGGAACCGAGACCCAAGGGTTTCAATATACTTGACATCGAGTGGCACTACGATGGGCTTGCCGTTCTTTGAGACACTGCAATTAAAGTGTTATCAATTTGTTATGATTTAGAACTAACGCCTAAAAAACTTGGCGCACGGCGACCTTGTTGCTGCGTAGTGCATAACGCTTCCATAATCATAAGTCAGGTTATAGTTGTAGTTAGTATTTTCACTNATAGTTGTAGTTAGTATTTTCACTTTGTTTTATGAATTGAGACAACCAGCCTTCCTAAAATCATACATTTAAAATTTGTGGCTATCTGTGCTTTTAAATTTACCCGGAAATTTTCTGGATACAGTGTGACGAAGTCGTCACGATCATGCCTTGACTGGGTGTGGAAGAGACCCAAAGCATGCCCAATCTCATGTACGGCGGTTCCAACCTGTGCAAAATATGAATGACATGTCGTATGAATAAGAAACAAACGAATACTTTACTACTTATACCGATTCGCATCCGGGGCCTAGTGAAAGACTTTGTTCACCTCCAAGTCTTCCAACGTATGACCAGCAACCACCACCTTTGATAACGTTAATTCTATCGGTAGCTGAAAGTTTATTCCTCAAGTAATTATTATACTTTGAAGCGTTTAGAGATTTCCAACCTCTGATTTTTTCTCTCACCTGTTTGGCTCTCTCCGAAGTTAATGCATGTAGAATAAGTCCATATTCCTGCTGCCTTTTTGAAAACCACCCTTGCGTCGTAGGCTGAATTTATATTATTGGACTTTGAAGCAATGGTCGTGGAAATGCAATAGTTATAAAAGCAGACATGCGTTCCAGAAGGCGTAAATCAATCCTTGTGACCACAACGTTTTGGGATAGTTTTTGTCACGGAAGGCCTGTCGTTTGTTGCGTTTGCCCTTGTTCGCTTTGATGTCTTGCAAAATCTCCTCAGTTTGTTCCCTGAAAAGAAAAGTGGTGTAAAAAAGGATAATGGTCAACAAAACGAAGCTATATGAAATAATGGACTTGGTGAGTATCATATCTCCTTGGAACAATGCCGTGTCCACTTTGCTGTTTTGATTGATTTCTTCAATTGAATCACTTGATTGAATTGGTTGAATGTGATCCATCTTATTTTTGAAGACAGTCTGAAATTCTGTTCCATTTTCCACTACCAATCGAGCGAGACATAATATGTTCACCTCCATCATATTTAAGGAATCGGTAGAACGCTGTAGGGACGGTGTGAGTTCGTCCTTAATTTCTTTCTCCATATTGTGTAGTTGCTTCAAAAACTTCATCGTATCTTTCGCACTCGGCTCCTAAGAGAGCGAATGAGTGGTAAGGAACTCTCTGCGGACATTTTGCGAACACGAAGGTGGTGAGAGAGCCTTACGCTTTTGAGTAAGTTGTATCCCTCTTCTAGTTTTTCATCAAAACCATCCTCGCTGGTGGATCGTCCATTTCTCGTTTCCGGGCCGTCAACTATCCCAGCATAGGCGCTACTCACCAGAAAAGCAAATAGTATTACTCTCATCCTGAAATGCGAAAAAACTGGAATGAAAAAACCCTAAAAAGACAAAGAGATCGGAAAGTGACTGTTATTCACAGGCTCACATCGCAATCAATTTTGATTTGATATGGATACTGTTCACATAGCTGGGTTTAATCTACTAGGATAAAGAGTGAGAATTTTTACTCGTGTAAGTATTGGCGACAAGGAGGTGAGCAATATATGCATCAGTGACAATAACGATTACATTAACATTAATAGTGTTAATCACTCGGGCGAGCGCGTTCCTTGTTTCTTATGTTTGGCAATATCCTCATTCACGTCTTCTATTATCTCTTCAGCTTGTTCTCTGAAAATCAGAACAAATCGTCCAGAAACAAGCCTACTATGGGCGAAGTTCGAACTTAGTGAGAATCATGTCTCCTTGGAATAGCGCCGAGCCGACCTTATTGCGTCCATTGATTTCCGGGATTGAACCACCCTCCTGATTTTGTACCGTTTTTGCGTAATCCTAGAGAATCACATTCACATATCACTTCAATGCGTCAAATGCAAGAAAACAACGTGCTTACCTCCATCGCTTTCAACACTTCAGGACTCGGCTTTTCAGATGCACTGAGTTCCTCCTTGATTACATCTTCCATGTTGTGCAATTTCCTGAGAAGTTCCATTGTGTCATCCGCATTTGGTTCCTGTAAGGTGTGCAGGATTGAGAGAATGACAATAGTTGATAGAGTCATACACGTTGTGTTTACTTTTAATTGGATAGCCTTACGTTTTTCAGCAATTCATTTCCTTCTTTTAGTTTTTCTTCGAAGCTTCCTTCTCTTGAGGATCGCTTAATTCTTGGCGCTTGATTGTTGAGTATTGTTGCGCCAACGAAGCTAGCAAGACATGCAAATACGAAAACCTTCATTCTGAAAGAAATGTGAACTGTCAGATACTCCCTCTACACTGCTATTAAAAACTGAGTAAATTGGGTAAACGCAAGTAGGGCCGATTAGTTCACATCGTGCTTCAGACATGACTCGAGACTTCCACTCGCTAGACGGGTACGAGGAGCATCACACTTATAACACGATGAACTGTATTTTAACTCGTATATAATGCTGAGATATTTGCAAAACTCCGGACCGCAGGTGTATGCGATGGGGAACGAACGCGCGCTGTTGTCCTTACCGGGGAGTAGCGCACTTCACCACTACAGCATCCGGGTCCTTCGTTTTGCTTGTCTCTCAGCTAGTTCTACTGACCTTTTGCCATCAGCAATCACCCGTCAACGGGATTGGTCTGGGGAGCCCACATCGGCATTGAACCCAGTTAAATTGAGGCTTAGATGGTGTGGTGGTGAAGTGCTCCCCGGTAAGGAAAATAGCGCGTCCAACTTTGCTGTCCCTATTGACTCCTGCGATTGAAGCACCCATGTCGGACTTTTTAATTTTTGCATAATCCTAACGAATCGAATTTGCCGAAATCCGTGCATGAGAACACGTGCTAACCTCCATTGCTTTCAATTCTTCAGCGGTTGGTTTTTTAGAGTGTTCCTCTTTAATTTCTTTTTCCATAGTGTGCAGTTTCTGGAGAAATTCCATCGTATCATCCGCATTCGGATCCTACGAAAGTGGATATTTCAAGTGAAGGACGATAGCCGGTGACAGTATTCCGGCGCATCAACTCTTCAAATCGTCTTACGCACGTTTTTGAGTAACTGATGCCCTTCTTTTAGTTTTTCTTCAAAACTTTCCTCACTGCTCACGATGGCAGCAAGAAACGAGAGTAATAGAACCCTCATTCTGAAAAGCGAAACGGAAGGATATAACAAGAGTTCTGTTGGTGGAAAAGAGGGCAACAGCAGTGAATACCCTGCTTTGGTTCGCCTTACTTTTATACAGAGTTTACGGTTTGGCATTTGCGTAGTCAACAAAATATTTTTATTTCTAACCGGCGCCAAACAAAGCAACTATGCCAATGTCTATTTGATATATTTAGAAATTTATGCAAAATATTTGGACATACTTGCTGAAAAACAATTCGTTTTTGTTCACTTTTATTCCATTGTCTGGATTGGTGTGGGCACCGATTTAACAAGTATGCCAAGAGTTGTTGAGTTATTGCGCGGACAGCCACATGCGCCTATTCCTAAGCACACTCTGCCAACCTTAATATTCGTTAATTGCTATTAAGTACAATTTTATGAGAGTCATTGAAAAGCGTCATTGAAGAAAAGCGTTAAACTCAACTGCGCCGAGAATTTTCACATGGACCAGTGAAGTCTCAAACCATGTCTTCTGAAACACACAATTTTCACCAAACTGGACTTCGCATCCATTCCGTCCACAACTGCCTTGTCGTTGGTACCCAGGAATGTGCATAGATAAAATGAGATAAAAAATTATTATTGCAAAATAACAACAGTTGACCACTGATCTACGAGAAGCATGGTGAAATGGCCACGAAAACGCAGCGTTGCCTGTCCATCCATTCAGGAAGGCAAGAAAAACAAGCGTAAAATCTGTAAGGATCCGCAACTTGTTAGGAGAAGCTACCAGACTACTCTCAGTGTCAGAGTATCAGGCTTCTTTTATGTAAACAGTTGGGTTTTTCCCTTTAAGACCGTATACCGCTTCCATGTTGAATTGAACGTGATTTTTTTGTTGTTGCTGCCATACTCGTTCATCCTAGCTTGATTCTTTTGTCATTTTTTGAGATCTTCCAGTCATTGCCCATAATGATCAATCGCAGAAATACTTTCCACAGTGTCACAGTCAACCGGAAAAGTTATACATTTGCTGGATGGTTGCCGAACGCTGAATAGTTCGGTCTTAATGGAAGAAAACAGCAATGACCCCTGCAGAACCGCTGGCATTGACAGTTGTCTTCACACCGAAGTGTGATTGCCGAAAGAGCTGCTCAATTTTGTTTGTTGCTGCAATCCCTGTGAAAATCTTTAAACATGCTTGAAACCATAGAAAAATTAGAGCGTTAATTTGCAATCACAACGATGCTGAGATATTTGCAGAGTTCCAGACCACAGGCGTCCGCGGTGAGTACTAACGCGCTAGAACTCTTTCTCGAGGGATAATCCATTCGCCACAACACCATGCGCGTCCTTCGTTTGGCCATTCTCTCAACTAGTTTTAATAGTCTTATACCTACTTTTAATCGGTTGATTCTTTATTGAATAGTTTTAACGCATTGGTCACGTAGCCAACGGTCTCACCTTTGGCATGTTCACGTTGCTTTCCAATCCTGTGTTTTAACTACGCAGAAAAGTTCCACGTAAATTTCGTTTTCAGTGGGAACAGTCACGTTTCAATCTGTATTTATGGCACTGTATAGACATTGTAAATTTTAATGAGCTCGTTGAATTTGCACATAATTCTCCAAGACCAAGTCCATGCGTTGGGAGGTATAGTGAACGAAACAAACAGAACCTATGCAACATACACTTCATTTCCACTGCTTTATTTCGACGTAGAAATTTCGTTTACCGCAGTTTTTGTATGCTAATAGATAGCTTGACCAAGCCAATAGAAATGACACGCAAGGCGTATCTCCTCAGAAACTAATCTCTAACTTTTAATGAATAAATAATTTTGGAAGAGTTCACTCTGCCGCCAGTGCTCACTAGCGTTGAAGACAGTACGTACCGAATTGATTGTTGGCTGTGAAAAGAGTGGTGGGATTTGTGTTGCGCTATACATGAGCACTGAAGTTCGACACTTAGGGTTATTTTCCCGTTATACTTACTTGTTACTTGAATAGACAGTCTCACTGGTTGTGCAGGTTCCAGCACAATCTCCATTTTTTTTTTGTAGCTTTGCTGGTTTACCCATTGTGGTTCACTGCAATACCGAGGCCAGCCTGGCTAAAGTCTGACCCAAGTCGTCACTACCACAGGAAGACCCTGTGGATCAGTGGGAGATTTGCCACCAAGCGACTAGTTTAACACTACGACGGTGGGGGATCCTGGCATTCGTTTACTGTTGATGCTGTGCTTCTTGATGGAAACGCCGTACTCTTCGTCAGCTTGGGAGACTCTGGCAGAGGATGAATCCTCCACTGTACATCGCTGTCCGACACCCAGGAACACCTTCCAGCCACGATGAGGCGGTGAACCATTGGCAAGTTTTCGGTATAATATAATAAGACGATAATTTGTCGACGATACTCTTTGAGGGTTTCGGTTTTGTGAATAATGCATAATCAACGTGATACAACAATCTACGACAAAATTTGCCGTTAGAAACAATTATTGAGCCCTGTTTTTGCGATCTTTTTTGCACGTTACAAATTGTTACCTTCCGCAAGAGTATTAATCTTACAAACTGGAATACATAGTTTCTTTACATTTAATACTGACATATTGCATTTAGAGCTAAAACTCTGAACACCACCGTAATGCTTCCCATGTTTGCCCATGTCGATGTTCTTCTGGCTTGCATGTTTTCTTTGGGACAAATGCGATTCTAATACCTTTTCATCTTGTTTGTGTCGTATATCGTGGACATGTTTTCTGGCTATTGGTAGCTCTTTCTTTAAGAAAATTAAAATGCAACGGCATCAAAATACTCTTGTTTGACACAACGTCTTGTATTCTATCTTTGACGAGCTTACATGAGGTTCATAAAGGCATTAATTTTCGGCAAACGTTTCGACGTTTTCGTCCTCATCAGAGCCGATGATCCGTGTCGATGGTCCACGTTTGCTGTCCGTCTCGATGTGGCGATTTCGTCTTCGTGTCGAGTCAGGTCTTCCTCAGCGGGCCATCTCCTCGAATGAGGCATACTCAATCGGTGAAGGTTTTGTCTACGTAACGTAAAAAGGCGTCCTTCGACAAGTCATTTAGCGTGGTGTTCTTCGCCAGCCAGTATCAAACACATCTGATTGATCAAAGTGAAAAAGAATCGCATGTGGTTCTGTCACCTGGTCTCCTGTTGTCGCGCGCTCGTGAAAAAAATCAGATGGTCTCTATCTTATTTTCTTGTTAAGATTGAAACTCGCAGCTCTCCACCATTGTAGTAAATTTCTTGACTAAGCGTCTAGTCATTTTCATTTCACGGATGAAGTTAATAGCGGCATCTTTTTCGAATAAAGGTAACTTCGTTTGCTCAATCGTATAGAAAATTGTTCGCTATTGATACCTATTGTTACAACGGTTTAAATAATGTCTATATTCATGATATTTTCACTATCCATGCCGTCAAATGACTGCCACCGGACGCATTGTCCACCAAAGTAGATCATATTGGAGACGGCAATTGGTCAGCACCCGTCCTGTATAGAAGGGTACCGCTAAGCTAGTAAACCATTCGGGCGGGGCTCCCTCTTCTGAGCTCGATTCGTTGCGACAGCGAACGCCCAAATCGTAACAACGACCAGCTGTGAACCGTCGAGCCGGATCAACGCAGCACTAAGGAAGGCGAAGGAGCCGAGACGCTAGCTGAGTAAATGGTTTATAGGAATCGAGTGTTAGCTCAATCATGTACAAAATAATTAATCATTGTTACCGAGTTTTAATGGAAGTCGGTTTTCAAGATACTGTCTACCTCAGCAGGAATAGTACACAAAGATCGTAGTCTGATTTGGAATTATGTGATTACAGCAACAAAGGTTGTGCAAAACTTTGGTTTTACTGCGATGTAGTATATTCCTTTAATGCGCTTTACTTCAAAAGGATTTTCACATTTAGGAATGGGAGGACCGTTTCTTCAATTTTAACCATGAATGGGTCTCAGTCGCTATGGGGAATTCAGGCAGTCACCCATCCTGTTCGTTCCGTTCCAATCCGTTGGTCTTGACCAGTCACTAAAAACGGACCAATGTCATGAAAGACAACTAAACTAATCAATTAGTTTCAATGGGTTTCGTTTTTTAGGGTGGTGTTTAAAAGTTATTAAGTGTCAGTCTTCGAGAAATATCTTGTGTCGTGTGTTCAAGCAGCCTGGTGTTCCCTAGTGAACATGCGTTTGGATCCCGATCGAGGATTTCATTTGCTCGAAGCCACCAGATAATTTTTTTTAGTTAATGAGACATTAACACTTTGTACTTGAATTTTTGGTGATTTTCCACTGGATTTCATCACCACTTCCACAGAAGCAATTTTAATTGAGATAATGTTATACCTTTTCATTTTCTGCCTACTATAATTTCGCGGCAGGGTACTAAGCGAAATACAACCACAACGTTGCTGAGATATTTGCAAAACTCTGGACCGCAGGTGTCTATGGTGAGGAACGAACACGCTATTGTCCTTTCCGGGGAGTAGAGAAAATAAAAAGGTATAACATTGTGATTTCAACTACAGCCGCAGCATAACTGGGTTCTATGCCGATTTGGGCGCCCCAGATCAATCCTGCTGACGGGTGATTGCTGTGGCAAAAATCTACAGAAATAGCTGAGAGACAGGCGAAACAAAGGACCCGCATGGTGTGGTGGTGAACGCGTTACTCCTCGGAAAGGACAATAGCGCGTTCGTTCCCCACCATAGAAACCTGCGGTCCAGAGTTTTGTAAATATCTCAGCAATGTTGTGGTTAATTGAGATAGTTTGCGTCTGCGAGACATTAAAAAAAAACGTAAAAAAAACGTTAGGATAAAGTTCACAGGACCGACTTTCTCTTAATCTCGGCATTGGAATATGAATGTGTCGATTTCTTGTTCAGCAATCGCGAGGTCTTTAAACAGCATACATTTACTTCCATAAAAACACAATACAATACAACGCTAGCTGACGATTCGGCAGTATCGCCTTCTCCAGAGCCTGGAAGGGTATACTGATATACAATCTACTACGCTTCAATAACACTTACACAAAGACGAAAGACTCTCTGATAATTACACGATCAACAACTCGAAAAACCCACCGCTTTTTCGTGACTTCCAATGAGGAAGTTTAGAACAGCTGATTATAGTCGCATGTGGTTGACGACTGCACCATCCCACATCAAAAATCGATGCGAACGTACGGGATCAGGTCGCGTATGACCTCCGGGCATTCGTCCCTGCTATTCATTGTAGGGTTTTTGGCATTGATCCAAAAAGCCTCAAGGAGTTTTCGCGCTGGTATTTTGGACTCCTGTGCAAGGATATTGACTTTCACTTCAAAATCGTCTCCGCTATGCTTTTGTATCCTATGCGTGCCTAGTGGGGTGCTTCCACTTAGTTTTCGTTTGCCATCTAGGTATACTTTTATACGGATACACAAAGGTCTGCCCGTTTCGCCAATATATTCATCTCCGCAATTGTTACACGAGATCAGGTATATCGTACCTGAACTCATGCAATC